TTTATTAAGCAAGTAAATATGATATTAGAAAGTATGAACAAATTATCAGAAAAAAAAACAAAAGATGGCTCGACAGTAGAGCTGCGCAGTATTTTAATAGTATCCTACGAATAATTTTACATATCTGTATTTCTGTATCGAGATGCATTTCAACAATTTGTTCTCAGAATGCAGGTACCTCGTTACCCTCCCCTCTTATTCCTTTTCTCTCTCTCCTTTTTTCTGCTGGGAATGAGCAACCTGTTTCTCAAACACCCATAAACCACCCAGAGGTCTAAATTTAGTAGTGGTGGGGGAAATTGTGCACGAGTGTACGACGAACATGGAGCCATGGGAATTTTTCAAAACTGTGCAGTAATAGCGGAGTTAGACGCGTTTGATTATCTAAGTCGTGACGACTACAGCTTTCGCTCTCTCCTGCGCTTCCCTCCATTGGTATTCTCTCCCACGCCGCTTAGCCCTCTCGCCGAGCGCTCCTCCCAATCTGGGGTGGCAAACGTTATCGCTGACGTGCTGTTTGTCTACTTCCGGTTGCCGCGACTCCAGTCATCAACTCCATCAGTTACGTTGTAGCTGCTTGCTTGTTGGCAAACCCTGGCTGCCGTAATCGTACCGGTATAAACTCTGTGTTGCGCGCACGCCTTCCCTGTACGGGTCTAATGCGATCGACCCGTACAGGGACACGCCGTGCCCTGCACGTGTTGCACGCATGCGGGCAACACGATGAACATTATAACGCAGCGCAGACAGCTGCTTGAAGACTGACTGAAAGTCGTAGGCTCTTGCTCGACCATTCACAGCATATTTGGCTCGGCGCGTCCCGCGGAGGACCGAAAGGCCCGAAAAGAAGGAGGGATTTCTTGGAATTTGCGGCGCGCCGGTGGCTCCCAGCACTGCCACATGTAGAATTGTTAATCACGACGGCATTCTCCACACGATGCGTGCGTTTACTTGAAATGCTTTTCAAAATATCAGAGGTGGTTTACAGGCCCTTCAAGAGGGACAGGAAGACATCTGTACCAATCCAAGCAAACGCACGTCGCCAGTCACCGACGAAGTAGGGGCAGCGAAGGGTTCTGCACATGCACTGAATGACCCATTAGGTAAAGCGCACAGTGCCATGATAGCAGAATGTCAGAGGCAGTATCCACCTCTTCAACGATGCTGTGGTCCATGGGCCCTTCTCCAGTAGAAAAGTCGTGTAATGCCTCCTTGTCTCAGAGACCGTTCGTGGCGTGAGCAGTAGCATGGTCTGCCTTCCCCATGTTTGTGGCGAAATTTGGACCAGGTATTGCTGGAGAACAACCCTTGCAGCTGCTAACTAGCCAGCCCAGCAGACGATAACCTCTGGTTACTTTAAATAATTTGAAGTTCCTTGGATTACACTTGTAGGTAATGTTACTTCAAAAACTCACATGACGAAGAGATTTTTCACACTACTTGGCCTTTAAATTAACAAAGAATCACTAGGTCAGGCTTCGCTGTTTCACCTTTGCCCCTCCTCTAACACTCACTTTTCTTTCCCGCCCTTTCATATACACACGGCTATATGCTGCGCTACACCATCTCTCCCATCCATACTCACCCTCCCTTTCCCACCTCCTCACTATGCATGACTATGGTATGCTTCCTTTCTCTATTTCTTCCCCTCTTTCTCTCGTTTTTATTCCGTGTCTCTCTATCCCCTTTCTTTCCCTCCTTCCCTCCCTCTTGCTCTCTGTACTGTTTTCTTCCCCCGTAGAGTTAGTGCATCCCGTTCCATGCAAATCGGCACACATGTTTTGGGACCGAAGAAAAAAACCACTAGGGGAAGGCACATCAGCTGAGCAATGTGCTAGACGATAGATGCCAGTCATGATGATGATAATGTTCACTCTGCGAGTCCTAACCTTAGGCTTAGACACTTCCGCAGTTAATATCACTAGACAGACATCATTTATTCCACTTGGAATGGGGTACTCTCAATCTACTTCCAAGTTTTAATTTAGGGTGGAATATTATTGGAATGGGACGTTTTTCGTGGCTTTCATTGGCACACATGCGCAGTGGCCACGGCCCAAAAAAACTCAGCTAATTAGATTTGTTGAACCCGGGCTGGGAAAAGATACTTTGAAATTGTATTGCGATACGATACAAGATACTGAGACAAAAAGTATTAGAAATACAGATACAAGATACTGCCACAAAGATTGTATCTGATACGGTAATTGCCAATGGTATCTTAATATACTTTATTACATTTGCAAATTTGCTGTTATAGACTTCCACAATCTACTAGCGAACATGTATGCACAAAGAGGACTATTTGAAAATTTTTGAAATGTGCCCCATTTCATATTAACGTATTGTTTGAGGGTATCTCCAAAGTTTTGTCCCAAAATAAGCTAGTTTACTTTCGAAGAACATGTTACGGTTTTTTGTAGCTTATTCACAGGGCAATCTGAATTTGCACAACTACAGCATATGTTAAAATGATATCTTACCAACCAGCTCAGCTCTCATCCCTACTGAATAATAATTGAGTTTTTATGGTCGTAAAACTACGATACGAGTATAAGGAACCCAGAAGTGGAGGACTCCACAAATTTTGACCTTGTGGTGTTCTCTAATATAGATTTAAATCTAAGTAAATGCGCCTCTAATACTTCGCCTCCATCGACATGCAGCCACGACAGCAGGATTTGCACGTAATCTTAACAGCACAATCTGAGACAATCTCGAAGTTTACAAAACACTGCGGGAGGCTTGCTGCCAAATGGTCCGACAAAAAGCACATAATCTGGTTCCCGGCACACGTTGGCCGACGCGTACATGGAACCATCTTTAATACTAACGAGTTGACTCACTCCCAGGCACGAGGTCTCACATTTTACGCCAGGGAGAATGTGATTCGAAGGCTGTAATTTCAGAGACCCGTTGCTAATTTTTATTAAATTTGTGAACATTACCAAGAGTGGCTGAAGTACTCACTCCCACACCCACACTAAAAAAGACCTCAGTCCATCACTCTACGACTCTTAAAGATGGAGGCATATGCATTGCCTCTAAATCACTCTAAATACATGGATGGCATAGATCCGGGATGCCCGCGCTGTGGTCACCCCAAATGTACACATGCTGTGGCAATGCCCTGCGTTGCGCGAGAGCAGCGAGTCTCCCTCTACGGAGGTAGACTGGAATTGTCTCCTCACAAGCCACGACAAAGAAGACCAGCTTAGGGCCATCCAGAGGGCTCGCAACATAGCCGTGGAGTTTAACCTCACCGTCCCGTCGTGGGAGTGGTCCACCGCTATCGCCCCCTAAGGGGGCTTGAGCCCCGCCTCCGGATACTAATAAAGTAATTTGCCTGCCTGCCTGCCTAAGCTGAGCGGTCATAATTTTTTTTTATTTACACTGGATCACAACAAAATGAAAAAAATTATGAGAACGTGGCAGCAAATGTGCACACATTGTAGCAAGATAACGCTGCTATTCATGCTGTTGCCGCCTACAGCTGCAATTGCCTGTCAATTCGTAATAGAGAAAACATAGGGAGCTCTTTAAAAAGTAAAGCAATTATAACTAAAATAAAAAGCCATCCTGTTTGCAGCATTCTGGTGGAATAAGTTAAAATGCATGATACAAGTGTCATGCCTTAAGAGCTATGAAAGTTTAGCATAAAGTATCGTCAACTTACCTGTTTTGGTAAGACAATAAAAAAATATGAGCATGTAGAAAATTGTCTGAAATGGCTGGTTCAGAAATGGCTGGGAACTTCATAAAAACAAACCATTTGGCATAACACTGTTTCTCAAATCCTCTAAGATCCTTACATATTCTAATTATTATAATGCCAATTAAATTTGGTAATTTCACCAAGGAGTAAGCAGCATTTTTAGTACTGTATACTCAACATAACGACATCTTTGTTTTTCAAATCTCCTTGGCAGAAAAGTAAACTCAAGTGAATATATATGAGTGAATAGCAGCAAAAATAAAGCAGACAATTGAAGGTAAGCATAAAACAGTCCGCTTATTTTGGCTGCACTTTACAGAAGGTGTATTGCATTCACAAGACCGAAAAAACAACTCTTGAGAGCGCTAGGTGATGTATGGGATGCAAGAGAAGAACTGAGAAAGCACTTGTGCTAACAATCATATAATAATTTCAAGAACTCCTTGAATAGAAATAGTAGGAAGAAAGTGGCATGGTACGTCGAGATATGGTCTGATTGGTAAGCGTCTGTTATATTAGCTACATCATCAGTATTGGCGGTCCTATAGTATAGTACCATGCTGGAGAGCAGCATCAGAATTTGTGCAATCATCGCCGCACGCATTGTGGTACACGGGGCTTGCAAATGGCTAAGAGTGTCATTGTTCTGAAAAAGTAAAAAGGCAAAAAATCTCGAAACCAAAAAGCACTTGGGCAAGCACGCAAATGCACTTTCTGTCAAGACTGTGCGAGCTCTGTCGTGTTGCTCTGCTTCACCGAAAGGAAGGCGCTCACCACATCACTTGCCCTGACTGGTGGAGTCTAGCGAAAAGATAAAATTATGTCACAGTTTTATTCAGGTGGCATAGTGCAACTGGTACTGGAGTTCTGTCAGTGATTAATGTTTTACATATAATATAGCGTTGCGGCCACTGTATCTTGTATCTTAAGATACCCGATACATTATGGTTACATACATTATCGTATGTAACGAAAATACAGATAGTCGTCTTGCAAGACGTATCAAGACGTATTGCGATACATATACCCAAAGAGTATCTAAGATAGTATTTCAGATGCATGTATCTTCGATACTGCCCAGCCCTGGGTTGAACCATACTGTTGGTGAATACAAAACAGAAACAAAATGAAATAGTTTTACATCATACTGCTGCTAATTCCATGTCCGAATTCAGGATGATTTTTACAATGGGCCTGTTGCACAAGTGTAGCATGAAGAGCTTTACATTCAGCAAGCCACCTCACTTTGGCATTACCAAAAAAAACATTAAAAAGCATCCAGTACCTTGTATTCCACCGTACTTTGAAAACAGCTTCTGCAAGTCTTCACGCTCGATGTGTTTCTTGATATTGCCTACATAAATACGTGATGATGCTCTTGCTGGATCTGAGGTGTCGTTGCTCATGTGCGAGTCCATCAAGTTTTCTGAAAATATGCTAAACATTGTACATTTACAACAGATTCATGTCAAACATGCAAAATCCTAACAGACAACATTTTATGGGAATTGTTAAACAAAATAATCCTAATTGTTACAACAAAATTATAATATTGCAAAATGAACTGAAGCCGAGTATCCCAATACAAAACTTGCTTCAAGTCGATGTAACTTGAAGAAATGTTGGCCACAAAGCCACCTGCTTCACGAGCAACATTTGGAAAACGATATTTCTGAAGATGAAATAGGCACAAAATCATAGTGCTGATGGGCCTTTTCCAAAGTTTCCATTCTTTGCCAAAACTCACCCTAAAACTTGGAACGCTATTTCACCTTCACAAGCTAGCATAAGCATACAGGTTAGCACAGGAAACAGCAAAAAAAAAATTTTTTATGTATTGCCAAAACAGGTGCAAAACAGCCGGAGTATGACTTCCAGCAATATTTGGAGCAGCCAGTTGCTTTTGAAGCACAAAAAAAACCAAATTAGGAACAGGTCACTGGGAAAAAAATTCGTTTATCTTGAAATCCCAAAATGAAGCAGTATAACAGAAGGTTACTTTTAGAAATGATAACAAAAATTTATAAATCATTCAAAATCGGTTAAGTGTCTCAGTGCACATAAGACCTCTTATTTGAATTAAAGCAACGTGTTCATCCATCCCACAGTGTAAACGATGACAAAGTCGACATTAGCATTCGCAAAGCCTATCAAATCACTTAACAGAATCATTCGCGCGCTCCGAAGAAATAATTATTCGCCACTGCGCTGAACACCTCAACTTCACATTAGACCATCAAATAATTGAGCGAGCACATCGACTGGGTAGACACACTCAAGGTCGAAACCGACTAATTATTGTAATATTCAATCTTTATAAAACCAAGGAAGCTCAGTGCACTATCCAACAACCGTAATTAAAGGGCACTCCTTTCGGCATTAGCGAAGACTTCTCCCGGCAAGTGCAAAACGTGCGAAAGCAACTCGCTGCTTTTGCAAAAAACAAGTCCGTTCTTTACTCGCTCCGTTATAAAACTCTGCACGTCAACTCGAAGCGATATGTCTTTAACGAGTCATCTCAAAGTGTTGAGGAATTAACATAGCTATCACGCCGTACTAAAACGCCCTGCCACGCTACGCGTGCTGCTCGTGCGCATTCGTCTTTTTCGGTTATCTACACTAACATACGAAGCATTCTTTCAAAACGAAACGCTATATCAAACCTTTTTTTATTGTCTGCGAGTAACCTGCTCATATTAACAGAAACGTGGCTCAAGGCTGATGTTCCCGACGTGGAAATACTAGAAGGCCTGCCAAATTTCGAACTAATCCGCAAAGATCGACAGGGAAGCAGAGGTGGTGGCGTCCTCATTGCCATTAAAAAAGAACTTTCATTTTGCAACATTGATATACGTTCCGACCTGGAAATTCTATGGATCCTATGTCGTTCCAAGCTACAACTTGCTCTCGTTGGTGTGTGCTATCGCCCCCCAAACAGTTCTTCAGATTTTTCTACGAAATTAAACATCTTAAGCCAGCTAGTCAAAAAGTACCCGAACGCACTCCTTCTACTCTTCGGAGATTTTAATTACCCCATCAATGTTTGGTCAAACCCTCCAGTAAGTACTGGACGTCTGGAATCTAAAGAATGCGTAAACGTCTGCTTAAACTTCAACCTCATTCAAATGGTAGCCGAGCCAACAAGTGTCACACTGGATAGTGCTAACATCCTAGATCTAGTATTGTCTTCAAGCCCTGAAACAATATCTCACATCATCTACCTTAAAGGGCCACTCACCAGGTTTGACAATTTTGAGCTGACAAGCGCAATACGTAGACGAGGCATTCATGATCAAGTCTGCCAAAATTTGCAACACTACGCCCGAGGAAATGGGTCAAATTTCAAAATGAAAGCTGCTCCCCCTCCCCTCTACCGGCTCCCGCGTAGAGAATGAGGGCATAACGTAGGCGTAGGAATGGCCCTACGTACACAGCAATGCAGTGACGTTGGTCCTCTACGTAAACGACTCTGCTCCGACGTCAAAAGTATACTATGTGACATGGCAAAATTTATTTAACACAACATGCGTAGTTCATGTATTTGTTGCTTTAAGAGATGAATAAAACTTGAAAAAATAATGAGACACAATAAAAAAATTGTGCACGTTTTCTCGCATTTTTTTCCCGTGAAATGCTACGAGATGTGGGGCTTATGTGCCAGCGTTTCGCATGCGTTCGTGTCCCCGCGGTCAGCGTATTGAGCAGACGACCGCCGTTGAACGCTCCTACGCGTTCGCGCCCTCAATGTGCTCATCTACTTTACCGCATCTAAGCCAGCGTTTCCAAACAATTCCGCAGAAACATGCAGAAGACCACATAATAACGCTAGTCAACAAAGCAACGTCGCTCGCGAGCACGGGGGCTGGGCTTGTTCGGGCACGTCATGCACACGTCACCTCTTGGTCAGATGAAGGAGAGGGTGGGGAATAGATTTGGCTTGTGAAGGCTACGCGGAGGAGCGGCAAGGTTTTCAAGCTCGCCTCCTCTCACCCTCATTTCGCGCCGCTTCAAAAAACCTGTTTTCTCCGCTCGTAATGAACCGATTCGAAAAACTTTTGTGGCAAAACGTTCCTTCCACTGTCTAAAATCCACTGTCTAAAATTCGGTATGGGGCCTGGTGAGTGGCCCTTTAAGGAAATAAGTGACCACAAAGTAATTCATGCCACTTTTGCTCTAACCCAGCCCGTGCGTCAGTCACATAAGAAAATCTTCAGTCTCTATATTAAAGGGAATTACTTAGCGATCAATAATGAATTCTAGCAATTTTACGAGGAATACGAAGCAACATTTCAAGAGCGCGACTTTCATGAAAACTGGTCTCTTTTCAAAGAAAAAATAGCCTATTTAACAGATAAATACATTCCAACATTACAGATCAACGCTAACCGGCATAAACCATGGTTCACAAAAACCTTAAAAAACTTGAAAACAAGAAAAAGCTACTTTTTCGCCAGGCTAAACAAAACCCACAGCACGATTCATGGGAAAAGTACTACAAAGCTGAACGTACATATCTTACCGCTATCTGGCAAAGCAAGTACACCTTCTTTCACTACGACCTGGCAAAGATGATCAGTGAAAACGCTAAGAAATTTTGGCAAACCATCAACCCGCAGTAAACCCGCACTATATCTTTACCCAACGAACAGGGTGAAATGCTATCGGATAAAGACACCGCTAACATGTTTAACACAGCGTTTTCTTCTGTTTTCACCAAAGACCCTGATGAACCATTACCTACGTTTCTTGCACCTTTTGAGGCTACAATGCCGCCTCCTATCACCTTCTCGATAGACGGCATTTAAAACGTAATTGCCAACATTAAACTGTCATCATCCGTTGGTTTCGATAAAATCACATCGAAGTTTTCGAAGAACACCAAATTCATTTCCGTGGCTTATCTAACGCTGTTGTTTTCCCAGTCACTGTCATCTGGAAATCTACGAAAAGAGTGGAAAAAGGCTAAGGTTGTTCAAGTCTACAAATCAGGCAACAAGAGTTCACCCCTAAACTACCGCCCCATTTCCATCATATCAGTGCCTTGTAAGATGAAGGAGTATGTCATATACACTCATATAATTAGCTTCCTTGATTCTAAAAATTTTTTTCACCATTCTCAGCATGGGTTTCGCAAGGGACTATCCTGCGAAACGCAATCAGCGGCCTTTCTCCATGACCTGCACCTCAATCTAGACGCTAAAACTCAAACTGACGCAATTTTTCTTGATTTCGCGAAAGCATTCGACAAAGTTTCTCATCAACACTTACTACTAAAACTCTCCCGACTGAATCTAAACCCCGCAGTTCTAACGTGGATTGAGCAGTTCCTCACTAACCGCCTGCAGTCAGTGTGCGTCAATAACAACTCTGAGCATCTTTCAGTAGAATCCGGCGTCCCTCAGGGTTTGGTATTAGATCCCCTACTCTTTCTAATATATATTAATGACCTACCATTGCATGTTACTAGCAAAATCCGCATGTTTGCCGATGATTGCGTTATTTATCGTTCAGTTAACATTACTGACCAGTCTGCTCTTCAACAGGACTTGCACAACATTAAAGACTGGTGTCAATGCTGGTTAATGATTTTAAATACTGATAAATGCAAAACAATGTCGTTTTCTCGCAGTACTAATGCATTAAAATTCAAATATGAAATAGCAAACCAGCAACTAGAGACCGTATGCCGATATAAGTACTTGGGTGTGACGATATTGAATAATCTCGACTGGTGTGCGCATGTGAACAACGCTATTGCATCTTCTAACAAAACATTTGGCTTTTTACGACGTCATTTACGAAGCGCTCCACAGCATGTCAAGTTACTAGATTACAAAACACTAATACGGCCCAAACTAGAGTACGCATCAGCCATTTGGGATCCTAGCCAGATATTCCTCACAAACGCCCTAGAGGCTTTTCAGAATCGTGCCATTCATTTCATTCATTCCGCCTTTTCATACGATATCAGCGTAACATCTTTGAAATCAGAATCCAGTTTACAAACACTTTCTAATCGATTCCACATTGCTAGTTTATCATTATTTCATAAATTCTACCCCAGCGCGCTAAATCAAGCACCGTATATTTTGCCACCATCACGCCTATCCTATCACATTGGTCACCCCTTGCCCGTCCTCATGCTCGAATAGTCACCTTTGCATCTTCTTTTTTTTCTCGAGCAGCCAAGGACTGGAACGACCTTGCACAAAAAATCGCTAACTCAAGCCCTACTGCCTTCATTGAAGCAATCACATCACAATATACCATACAATAAAGTATTCAACCTGTTGTATATATTGTAACCCACCCCTTATGTAATACCCCCTGGTGGGGTCTTTAAGGAATAAAAGTGAAAGTGAAAGGTATGCAAATGCTAATGTGGACTTGCCAAACTGGCAACCCTGAAATTAGAGAGTTTCATAAAGCAAGAACGCATGAGGCAGAAAAAAGATACCCAACTCACATTTTTGTTTACTATTTGTCAGGGCCGCAGAAACATCATACAGAGCTCTAAATAATTGCCAGTGCCATTTTTGGGCATCAGCACTCATACTACTATTTGCAATTATACAGCAAATACTAAAGCCCCTTCAAAATATTAGTACCTTTCCCACGTTACGACATACTGCGTCTAAAATACTTAGACAAGATTCTGCACGCAAAATAGAACAAGGATAAGAAATTTTAAAACCGCTGTCCTCTCGTCATTATTTTTTTTTTTTTCGGAGTGGTTTTAGCATTGTTTATGAGGAGATTTATGGCCATATCCATGCAATTGGAAGGTTTGCTCGGACTTCAGGAGTCTCCTGGGCAAATAAGAAGAGTTGGCCACCTACACCCTTTCCTGTGCATCTCGATTAGATTGGATGATTATGCCCTAGCTGCAGGTGACCAATGCAGCCTTTATTTCTTGCTAAAACAAAAAAAAAAAACATTTTAGGCTGGTCAGGCATTTCGTGCAGTGCGGCACAATTGCAAAAAAAAAATCTAGGTTTTAGCTTAGCTCTGCACAAAAATAAGAAATTGTATCAATTTTGTGCAGATTTGCCCCCCCCCCCCCCATGTATAATAATTACTACAGAAACATCAATTTTTCCCTGTTTCAAGCATGTCCTATACTGCATGATTCTTCTTTAAGTTGATAGAGACCATGAACAACACCTCCAGCTTGATGAGAAAAAACAAAAAAAAAATGCTCCGCATAGTGAAGACAGAGCTGAACTACAAGTCAGCCAGATTTTGCAGTCAGTGCATAAAGAACACAAATTACAAGGTATTTCTTGCTTCGAAATGAGCCAAACGCAATACCAAAACTAGTTCACGTACTCTCATACTTTCGCATAAAACAGTAATAGTAACTTAGAAGTGTGGCAGCTTGGGCTAGTTAATGGCATGACGATAGTTATAGCGCGAGAACAAAACGACGACACAGAGACAAGAAGGTCTTTCGTGTCCTTCTTGTCTCTGTGTCGTCGTTTTCTTTTCGCGCTATAACTATCGTCATAGTAATAGTAAATTAGTTACTATTATTAATTTATTATTATTATTTTTACAGGAAAGTTGAGAGTACGTCAGTGTCAATAGAGCCTTATTTGAGCTAGTTTTGATTTTGGCCCATTTAAAAGAAAAAAATAAACTTCTGAAATATGCAACAGCCTCTTTTCGAGTAGCCACAAGCATTACTGAGCAGATGCTCTGAGGGCTGCCATTGAGCTAACCACAAAGCAGGAATAGTAGATCAGTGGCATCCTTTTAAGTTTAAGTGTTGCTGTGTGCATAAAACTGCAGTATTAATTAAACAGGATATATAAAAAAATTCCTTTACAACTTGGCTAAACTCGTGCACTTATGAGTCAGCTGTCTGCCCATGAGCACACTTGCTTAAGGTGGGATGGACAGCAAAGAGAGGTGTTATTCGCTCTGTTATTTTTCAAGCAAACTCTACAAAATTTTGCAGGTTGTTCGAATGAAAATTTCACTATTATGTTCAGTGAATTTGGCAAGAAAATACAAAGCCATTCTAAAAATATTAATTATTTCATTGTTTGAAGAAACATTTGCGAAAAAGATTTTGCTTGTAGAATAGTGAACTCTCTTCTGGCTAGTACAAGTGCCCCAGACATCCTTCCGAACCAAAATAATACTTATAGGCATGACCATTCATCAGTTAAAAATATAGATGTGTGATGACTAGAATTTTAGTGCTGTTCTTTTTCCCCAAAAAAATCACATACAAAATACAATTCTGGTGGCAACACCATTCTTTTGCTTTATTAAAGGCACACATTATCTAGAAAGAAGCCACAACAGTTCGCACTTGATAGCTACAGTGGTTATAGAGAAAATGTTCCCTCTCTGCCAAAAAAGTATTGTTTCAAGGAAATGCCATTAAACATTCAAGTTGCTGTAGTGCAGTCATGGGACCAGGCGTGTTTGGGGCCATTTTTATATGCTTTCCACTGCGCATGAAAACGTGCCACTTCGTGGAAGCACTTGCCAGTAATGCTAGAACATGGTGGTATAAAAACTGAAAAATCTGATTTTCAGTTGATTTTGTCTTCCATTTCACAGGCCGTTTGACATGACACAAAAAGTAGCGATTTTCAGTGCGTGAATTCGCTCAGAGCGAATAAAAGACCAGTTTGCAGCGGTCCGCAGCGAGCTTACTACATCTTGAAAATTTTTGCTCTGATCGCAGCAGCGGGAGCGATTTTTGGTCGGGACCCGTCGAAATAGGGCTGGGTCGGCCAAGCCGTCAAAATAGCATCGACGTGTTTGTTTTAGTAATGACCGATGCTATGCACTTTAAAATTAATTAGAATGTTAAGTGTTCTTAAATGTCGAAACACGTGGGGCCTTCGTTACCGTTCACAGAAACTTAATGATATCATATAGCACAAATCATTACATTACATTCAAAAAATTCTCCAGTGTCTGCCACAAAGAACGGTGGCAAGAACTCACGGCTCCAGTCGCAGAACAAAAGTCGCCGATCGTTTGCGGTCTCTGTGAAACGAAACCGCCATTAGCGGCAGTTGCGAACATAGCGAATGGAACCATTTTTTTTTTTTTTGCTGCAAATCATGGCATGTGAAACGGCCTTTAATCAGAGCAAAATGCTGAGATGCTACCAATGGTGCTTGCTCGCTCGTTTAAAAATGAGAAAGTTCCGGCAAACGGAAACGGAGTACACAGCACTTGCAATACCTTTTCCACTTGTACTTGCTCTTTTTTTTTTAATTCTGTTGCTAACACACCTGTGAGGCACTTCACTTGTTCCAAAAGACTTCAAAAAAATAATAAAATAACAATTATGCAAAGCCCCTTCGAAAGAAAGCTTCACTTGTACAATGTGCTTAAAAGCAGATTCTGCCCTCCACACATCAACCTGTCAAAAAGAGCAAGGGACCGAACCCACAACCTTCGAAATTTGCGGGTTCGGCCCCCGCCATTTCGGATCAAGGAAAGTTTTTTCGGCTCGAAGCACTCATTCCTACTTGACAATTCTATCCCAGTAACTCCCGTATTCATAAACGCTGCTTCACTTGAACTTGACTTGCCACCGACTTTAATGCAGCACACCCACGTTTCGAACGCGCTCTCTTAAGGCGGTGCCAAGGCAGCACAAACACACACAGGCGCGTTTGAAATGCGCTGCATTCAAAGCGGTTTGAAGTCGTCACCGCAAGAGAAGCGGTGACACCAGCACATCGACACAGCAATCCTAATTAAAACGGCTACAGAGCCGATGAAAACGTGTGGCAAATGCTTATGACTACCAACGTACATAAAACAGAACGTGAGACGCACGTGACACATCAAAACACTGCAAAGTGACAAATACGCAACGATATTGAAAGTACAAAGCGTTCCATAGTCCCCAAGTTCTAAATGACGCGAGTAAAGCGCACATCAAATGTAATGATGTCCACACGATGTCTCGCATATCAGAAAACGGTGAGGAACAAAAAAAAAAAAAAATACGCAGCACCCATCCAGGGAGCTCACGCCGGGCCCGCTTTTTCGGCCTTTTATTAAATATGTCGTCAATCACGGATGAAACATGCACATACATCACTCGAATGGGAAAATAAAGCATCTAACTACATTCATATTCCGGCAACGAATAGCGTGACAGTTAAACGTGCCAATACGCATTTTATAAAGTGCGTCTGACCACAACCCGGCTTGAAAATCAGAAAACAGTTTCCGAGCAAAATGAAAGAAAAATAAATGATGTCTGATCACTGACAGAACTTCCACAAAATGCTCTGGAACGAAATATTTTCAAGCATGTGCCACATAAACACATAATGTAAATGTTTTAACTTAGGGTTACCAAACGCACAGTGTAACAAGATGAAGGTGTAACGTGCGCCATTTTATAACGGGCAAAGCACAATAAGCTAAACTTACCTTAGTGCTAGTGACGCAATACGCGGAACGTACCGGTGGTACCGCGTATAGCACACGCGATTTAATTAACCACAATACTACAAGTTACGTATTCCCCACGACGGCAGCCATCACGGGACGAATGAACAATAGCACAGCACAAGGACCGCACATAGGCAAAACGTAATACTTGATTGGTTGGATGGAAAAGCCTTCCAATTGGTCAATGGAGACCACCGAAGCCAAAGTTTTAAGAACTAGGTAAGTTGCGAAACACCCAGCGTCAGCCGACCAGTAACGCGGCGCCGGAATAGCTTCCGGTTTAATAGCGCTGGCGGCGCAAAAAGCTTTCGCTAGCAGACGAAAACACGTAGTCGCCGTGCTAAGACGCCGTAACAGCCGTTGGAAAGAGTTTTGCCAACAGTATATTATCAGGATTTTTTGTTGTGCTGCCGCAGAAACGTAATACTGCGTAATATTTAGCAGTGTAAAGCAAAGACAGTCTAATTATGGCCTTATCAACTGCCCACAATAAACGATGCTTGATAACATGCTAGTCTATCGGTTAAGAAGAAAGTGAAGGAAACGGAGACTGACATGTGGAGAATTGGCATGATTAAGAAGTCCGCACTAGAGATCTATCGAACTTTTATGCAGGAAATTGCCAAGGAAAGGATCTATGATAATACTCGGGGTAGTTCTGTACTGTTTGAGCGAGGATGGGAGTATTGTGAACCAAGACATATCGGACCAAATACGAAGGGGTAGACACGGTATGCAGTGCATGTGGAGAGGAGGAAGAAACTGCCGAACACTTGATAATGTTCTGTAAAGGGCTTCACCCTATAGTTCAGGATGATGGAGCAGAGTTTTTCAAAGCACTGGGGTTTAGGAACAGGGAGGGCAAAATTGTCTTTAAGCGGGTAGAATTAACTAGAAGAAGGTTATCTGATTGGTGGCTCAAGTCAAGACACGAGTGAAAATTAAACCATTCACAGCAAAGTACCAGTCCTATATATATATATACTTCACTATTTAAAGGGGGAAAAAAAGATAAGTCTAGTTGGTGGTTCACTAAGTATTACGGCTAGGTGGCGTTAGCCGCCACCCGATGTAAAGGGTACAGCCACATCAATCAATCAAATGTCACCTAAGACGGCATGCGCTGCGCAGAGGCGAGAATCAACCACACGCGCTGGCAATGTGAAACATTTAAAATATATTTTGTTGCTCGTGCAAGTCCTCAAATGGCGACCGATAAAATATGTTAAATTAGGTTCACGAATACAGGTTGCCTACGCGGGTGCGAGACTGAAATGAAATATCGACAGGGTGCCGAAAGTGAGCGCGTGACGGCACTGAAACATTTTATCGATGCGAAGTGGTAGAAGAGTGGAACGATGAACTCTGTTGTGAGCCATTGCTTGTAACACCTTTCACGGCAAACCATCATTTCCTCATGCACTAATCTATAAATAAATCTCCATCATTCGTAACGTCAAACTCATGCAGAGACGAGACTCATGAGAGATATCTGGATGAAAACATTTTATTTCCTGCACACAGGTCGTACAACTCATTTCCAAGTAGTGACTCACTATCTGTTTACAACAATCCGTTTTTTTTTTTATCCCCAAGAAAAAAAGTTTTATAGTTCACAAGCGCCCCCCAGAATATTGGGCTGCAAGCCTAAGTGACGCGCCTGAGCTTCAGATACTTCTTTTCACGAGAAAACGCTCGCTCCTTGTGGAGTGTTTTGCGTAAAAACGCAAATGGGTGAGCAGAGAACACTTGGTCACTTGATTGGTGAGGCTCATAGAATGTTGTGCGCGCAGCCCAGTGTGACTTTTTTTTTTTTTTTTTTCAAGCAGGAAACAGTCTTCCAAGCTTCCCGGTGAAGCTCGCTGTAGTTAACCACTTTGAAAAAAAGTGATTTCAAGGGCGTCTACAAATGCGAAGAGCTTCTTCGAAAGGCCTACCCATAGGCGTCCGCATGAAGGGAGAAATGGGGCGGGCGGCCCTCGATTCCTAGTCACCTGTGAGGAGGGCACTAAATCTGCTCTATATACATTGACTAGGCGGCAGGGCACTACCTTAGTCATCTAAAGAAGGGGGTGGGGGGGGGGGGGTGGGGGGGGGGCGGCGAAATCTGCTTCATACACTGATTTAATAGGGAGGAGGCGCCCTGCAATGACCTTACACCCCCTAAATGGCAAGCACCCCTATGGGCCTACCCCTTTCAAAGCGGTTAATTTCACCATTTACAGTGTGCTCGAAGTGCCGGGAGATGTACATCTCGTAGAAGTGCAGTTCGCACACAGCCGAGGGTTTTTTTTTTTTTTTTTTTTTTTTTGAAGCAGTTTGTCAGCTCGTGGGATCGTCCTTTGGAACGACGAACGCATTTCCTTTTTTTTTTTTTTTTCAACTGACTTGTGGCCTTTAGTGAACCCCGGGATGAAGCAATAACTTTGTTTTCGCTCTATGAGAGTGCATAGAGAAGCATTGGTGTCAGCTAAAGTGCCACCGCTTAAAAAAAAAAAAAAAAAAAAACCCGAGGACGAACACACCTGACGAAACTACAGTGAACTAGAAGGTTTTTTAGTGGCAAGAGCGAAGCGGGCGTCTATAGGAGGCGCTGTGACGAAAAAAGCTGTCCGCCACGCGTAGCGCTGCAGTCAGATTCGCGAGGCCAGCCAGGCAGGCTCGACCGGCGAGTTGTCTGCTGTCAGGGCGCTTTGCTGCTGTGGCTTTCGATTCTTCTTGTATCTTTTTTCTGTGCTGGAAGAAAACGTTCTCGGTACAACCATGAACAAGAAAAAGAAGACGGATACGCACTGTTTCGCCCCGGGTTGCCGGTCAGGCTACCCCGGCCATCGCGTTGAAAACGGGCGGAAGATTTCGCTCTTTTCGGCACCAAAGGACGAAGACCGACGAAAGGTTTGGGAGCGGAACCTCAAGAGGAAAGACAAACCTCTAACGGACACATGCATTCGCGAGAACCGCCTCTGCGCATGGATACGTGGTCTCGTTCTGTAATACGGTCTATAAGCAATGTGGTAACGACTTGCCCGATCATGAACACCGTGTGTTATGCTATTTGTGGATGTATGCCATACGTGTATGTCTGGTAAGTGCGTGTGTAGCGTAAGGATCGATGTGTCGCTTGGGTGAAGTCTATGCTTGCGCCAAAACTTTCATTGAAGCTTCTTCTTGCGTAACTGCGTGAGACAGATACGAAATGCACAAGTTGGAAGCGATGGAATATTACCAGGCGTTCACACGACGTTATTTTCCAAGTGGCTTAAATATGCTGTCGCCGATTACGATAATCGGTTTTCTAAGCTATGTCTGTTCTTGTGGGTGTATACAAAGAAAAAAAAGAAATAAAATTGAAGATATGCTGGGAGCACTATAAATATTCGGTCAAAATTGCCACCTTAAGCGTCTTCTTAAAATTAAACAGTGCCGCAAGGCAGTCGTGCCTTGCGGTGAAGTGTACGCTGTGTATTGCGGTAAAGCATACATATTGCGCGCGCTCGTGTTTAAATTGGAAATGTAACACTGACATTGGGCCTCGTGTGTGCACCTAAATTGTACACGCGCTATCCTCTGCCTCATCAGTGACGATGCGGCAGTCAGTATCGTCATCATCTTCAGCTTGTGTAACAAGCCCAAAACAATTTACCTAGTAAAGTACATTTGTGGCAGACAATTCGCAAGGCATTCAGATTTTAGTTCATTGCAGGATTAATTCAAAATTGTTGCATGGCACCTTCAACCGGGGTCCCCACGCAGCGTGTTGGGAGTATCCAGGCAGAGTAAGCTTCACCACTGGGGCGACGCGTCACAGCCCCTCGAAGCCCGCCTGTACCCTGTTTAGCTACCGGTGGGTGGCCGGCCGGCACTGGGGATCGAACCCCGCACCTCCCGTAGCTGAAGCGGACGCGTACGTGCAATGCCACAGCTACGGTGCATGGCACCTTCAAATAAACGAAACATGCATATGAGAGGCTTCAGTAGTACTTCAAAATTTGTGCCATGCCTCAAATTGAAAATGATTATCAAGGAAATATATACTAAGGCTGGGTGTAGATTACAATTCACAATTCAATTACCATTCATACTTTAGAAACTTAGAAAAGTTGTAGCTCATGTTTTCCTATCGAGTAAGCACGAAAATAACTGTTGAATAATGGTCTACAATTACTCACACAGTTTGCAAGAAATAAATCTTTGAAACCTATGTCGTGCCAGAACTAAGTGCAAGGTGGTTAGAGGAAACTGGTTATGACCTGACATAATAGCGCATGTTCGAACGTCTTACATGGGCTGCTTGTCGGCTAAATGGGGTGGTAATTAGGTGAGTGCCTGCAGGGATCTGCACCAAGAGACGAAACCTGCTACATCTTTTTCAAAAAAAATTTCATTATTTGTGTCAAAGCATGCGTGCACTCTTCGTTGTTGTGTTCTCTCAGGGAGCAAGTATATGGAATACGCTTGAAATCCATACGTTACCCCTGCGATTTGGAGATGTCATCACAGTGGACATGAACGTGCAATGTAGTTGAAAACGTTACTGGGCACCAACTTTCTTAACAATTTGAACCCGCTTATACTACAAAAGTTACCACGTGACTTCAGCCAAATAGTTTCTAACTGTTGTGGTTACTGTCAGATAAAAGTGATAATGAGCTAGTTGTGCTTGGACAACAGTCCTGCTTTACTGTATTAAAATACAGTAATTTAGTACCTGCATATAGAACTGACCACTTAGTTATTTTTTTTTATTTGTGGTCTTATTTGCTACAGTTTACTTTCAAAATATTTCATACAAGGTGGTTAAGTTTTAAGTCCATACGGTGGGCAAATTTTATCAGCAGTACCACATGCTGTACAATCACTTTTACTTCTCCTAGAAAGCATGGTGTTCCACTATTCCGGTATGTCTCGGCTGGGCTTCTCGACCTCGACGATTGTACATGTCAAACAGTTTGCCAAGTGTAACTACTTACTCCGCCATAACTCTAAATTTTGTTGAGCCATAATAAATAATGGGCAGTAAGGACCACTTACAAAACCCTTTTTTTGTGAAGTGCTCATTAATCAGGAACCTAACAATTCTGTACATAAACGATGACAGCAACCACTTCTCCACAC